TATTGCGAGTCAAGTGAGTGACCTTAGCGAATTTTTGCGTAGGCACAAACGAAAAACTCGCATGGCTGTACATATGTATGTATGTAAGTATGTAATGTAATGTACGTAAGTACATATGTCCCATATGTAACTGGTTGTGATCTCTGCCATGTCATTTTTAATACCTACACACGTTTATAAATAAATTTATAGGTGTTGTTTTGCTACGGCGGTAGATGTTTATTAGGGTGGTCGAATTTTTTTGCTGAAAATGTGTACACCAAAGTATAATAGTATTTGTGATGAGTTTGAACTGCGCTGGAACCAAGAAATTGGCGAAATTAATAAAAAGTTTTAAACAAATATTAAATTTTGTATCGGGAATTTTATAGCAAAAGAAAAACTTTAAAAATTAAACAAAAAAAAAAAATTAAAATGTCTTCACACCTCATGATTTTATTTTTCCGACCATATATTATTTTTCAAATATTGTTCATTAAAAACGACACGTTATTTTATGGTTTAATGGTTCATTCTTACTAAGAATAAACTGCCAGCTGTTAATTAAGTCCAATTTCAGGACACCCTTTATTAGCAGAAATTGTTTCGCCTGCTGCGATCACCTCGCAATGCCTGCTGTAGAACAAAAATCAGCGAAATCGCACATAACCTCACTTTTTGCTTACAAATTATCACTTCGATTGATAGCAGGTCAATAAAAATCCCTTGAGCAATAAAATAAATGCTTAGGTTATCTAAAAATTGCTTTCGAATTAGCTATAAGCACCACTTTTTGGTCTAAGCAACATTTCCAAAAGCAGCATTCAACAAAAAATGCGGCCCACCCTAAGCAATTTGCTTGTCGGACGCTTAATTTTTGCTTATGAAAAATAAAAGTGCAGTTTGCGTTACGCATATAAATTGTTGTTTTTGCGCCGATTGACATTAAGTGCATAGCAAAAATAGTTTTGCCATTAATCATTACACTTTGTCATTTCCTACTCCACACGCCGATGAAAGAATGATTTGCAGAAAATGACTAATTACTTACCGTTGGGTTGTAGAGTATTTCTTCATAAATTTTTATGCTTGCGATTACGCAGTTAAACAAATTTTGACTACAGTTGCATGGCTTACAGAGTTGATGCAAGCTTCGCGGTATCGGGTTTTTTGTTGAGAATTTTACGCATTTTCTTAATCTGAGTTTTATATGAAAATTGCTTACTCGTTTTTTCATAATTATCGTCGATTCTCACCAACATGGTTTTAAGTCAATACGCCAAAATTGTGGGCGACATTTTCGATATGCGACTATGGATTCTACCTTGAAATAACATCTGCTACTAGGTTTCCAGTCCTCATTATGTCCCGTCCTCTTGTTATTATTATCAAAATTAATTCAAACTCTCAAAAGAGAATCCTTGTGCTGTGTTCTCCAAAGAAAATCGCAATGAAAATTTGATTGTGTTAGAGGTTCTGGTGTCTCCAAGCTTCAACTTTCGCCGAGCAAAGTAGACCATGTGACCATTGCACGGCTAGCTTATAGTTTAAAATTGTAAGTTAAATTACGTTAGGTGTTCTGGCTATCTGTCACGCCAGCCATAGATAAACAGGTTCTTTATAATGCCAGATCTAGCTTCATTTTTAATATGATCTGAAATTTGCGTCGTGCAGTACGTCAAGAATGTTTGTGAAGTTTAACATAAACTTTATATCTAATTCTGATACTTCATCCAGTTAATTAAACTGCTAGGCTTCTAGGTAACTAAGCCGAGTTCATTAAATTGTAAATTTTTTGAGACAGTATGTAGGAAGCTTGCCTGTTTCCCCTCCCTTACAGATGATTTTGGGATCCTGCATGTCTCTAAAGGACGCCATCTGACCCTGATCCGAAAAAATTATGTATCCCTACTGTCTGTGTTTTCCTTTAGTTACATATGTCTACATTAATCAAACTTTTCACACTCCTGCGTACAGACTTACCTTCTGTTTAATAGACAATATGTGTATGTGTCGAGAATAGCGAGAAAGACCCGCAGGTAGAAATTATTTAGGTTTATTCGTTTCTAATAATTCGACTTGGAAGTTGGAGACTTCACGTTGTGAATTTTTAAGCTTGTTTTCTATGCCCAAAAGATACTCGACTTCCTCTATGTGCTGCTCTTCAACAAATATGTTTCCAGCAATATAATGCAATAATCTACCCAAGCACAAACATACAAGAGTGCATTACTCCTTTCTCGCGAAAATCCGCGGCCTACGCAGCCTAAGCCTGCGCAACACAAAATCGGTTGAAAGAAAGAAAATCAAAAGTCATACGAAATAAAAACGCAAGCAAAACTTGAAAGTGCGAATCAAAATACTGCGTTGGTTTTCTATTTGTTTGAGTTCTCGCTGTCTATTAATAACCATTATAATTGCTAAAACAATCTGCATAGGCAAAGTGCATTGACAAAGCGTGCCCCTCCCGGCGTCATAAAGTCGAAACGTGCACGAAATGTAAACAAGTTCAAAGCGCAGGCGCGCAGCCCACTCAGCCGAAGTGACGCGTTCGGCAGTGCAGCCGCGAAACTACGAAGCCGACGCTGTAAATTGCGTCTGAGCGGAGAGCTTCGAATCGTCTAAAAATGTGTGAATCAGAAATTATTAGATTCTCTAGTTTCGGTACGAGAGCACTTAAGAGCGTTTGTGAGTGATTAAAGAGAGTGGGTATTTTCTTGTTTATTCTGTTGCCAAGCACAGCTGATTGAATCAATCAACATATAGTATGTATAAGCACACATTTAACAATCTAAACATTTCATATGTAAATGTGCGCTCAGTATGTTGTAACTGTATAAATCCATGTGCTCATATGTGCTGGCCACTCGAGCGTTAAGCGTCATCGCTGTCATCATCATTGTTGATTGTTAGTTGAAAACAAGTTTTTAATTCACACATGATTAAGACTTTAATTAAATCATGAGCATAATATTGCAAAACGCTCGCCGCCTGTCAATGGTGAGAGCGAGGGAGCACTTATTGAGAGAGTCGGCCAGAGAGCGCTAGCCAACTAGGCTAGAAAATTTATTTATTTTTCTCTCCGCTAACGCTATTCGGTAGCTCGAGTTGTTTTTGTTTCCTTTTTGGTTGGTTTTTTTCTAGCGTTCGCTTTTAATGCAATACATAATTTGTTGTTTTTCGAAATCGGAACGCAACGGCGCACAAAATTGGCGCTTAAAAAGTTGCATTGGCCGTTGCGCTTTGTTGTAATCTGGTTTTTGGTTTTACTCGGGTGTCGGAACAGACTCATTTGCCTTGGGAATAATGGTACAGTTTGAAAATTGCAATAGGCGATGGTGACTATTATTGTTCAGGGTTGGTCGGACCAAAAACTTATACCAAGATTTAATTATGTCTAAGAAAAAAGAAGAAATTGATATAAATTGAGCACCTTGGAGCAGGATAAATATATACTTATGAATTCTGAGTTAGATCTTCTGCAGGCAATGTCAAAACTACCAGTGGAGGAACAAACTTTTCATAAATACACTAACCGTTTGGAAGCAACTCACAAGTGGTTAAAAGTTATTCCGAAAAATTATGTAATTTTTTTATTTAAACAGGTCAAGGTTGCGACAATGAATGTTAGAAAAACATCTTCAGAAGATAATTTAAATTTCTTTTCGAAAAATTTATTCCGTTTTCCTTTCACCAACCCTTCTTTTGGGTCCAGTTTTCCAAAAACAGACCTTTGTGATGCTATATTTCTTCTAATATTTTGTAGATACTAACGTCTTACCGCAAATTATTTACCACCTTCTTTCATAACAGCGCTACAGGAACGCAAAAGTCAGTGTTGTTGTTGTCAGTGGAAACAAGGCATCTCGGAATTCGCATGAACGGAGATTAACGAAGAAGGTGACCCTAAAACTATCATATTGGTATTTGTTAAGCTCTTTCCTGAATTAATGAAATCACTTTCAGATTTTTATTTTCTCAATAATTCTTCTAAATTTGTTTTTTATACATATATAATTATAATTGAGTTCATAGATATACGATGATATGCATATAATATGCAGCACTGGTTGAGCAATGCAGTTAAATAATATTTGAACATTTTTTTCTCAGTCCCCAGCCCACTGTGTTGATTAAACAAACACAACCGACTTCGTGCAAATCCGAATGTACTTCCTTGAATGCACGAATGACCATATAAAAGTAGCGCCCCACAAAACGGTGTCCGAAAGCGATTTAAGCGCAGCGCGCATAACTTACCTTCAAATACATTTGGCGCTGCAACTGCAACTGCAATTCTCGGCACCGCGCTGAATTTGCAATGAGAGCGCAAACGATCTTCGATACTCGCAATGGAGCGACCGCAAGCGCCGTTGACTAGGTGCGTGCGCTATCAGCACTATAAATTTATATGAAACACTCACGCATTGTGCTAACAAAATAAATACTCTTTTGAATTACACTTAGCAAAATGCTAATAAAATTTTGTTTTCGGCAATGCGATTGACCAATATGGATGGAGACTCCCAACAGCTGCTAGGCGAAGCACAAACTCGGTCGGTGGTTGTCCTAAGCAGCAAGCAAATTGTACGCATGTCTCTCTTGCGGTTTCTTCGGCGAAACATTTATACCTTCGCCACTTAACTTACCAAAGCTGCGGCGCGCTGCTCTCCAAGCATTTGCCTCGCTCACTTCAGCGCGTTGTTTACACGCGGAATGTAGGAGATCGCTGCCCGAGGTTGTTAGCTTCGTTTGCACCAATGCGCTAGCTTCGACCGCAGACGATCGAACTGCTATTGCCGCCGCAGATATTTGCAGTGGTCGGCGCTACCGCCGAAGCCAACTGCTTCCATCTCGATCGCTTTCGTGTTTCTTCTGTTGATTTTGCAGCGCTGACGAGCTCTTATTCTCGTGTGCGCGCGTGTGTTTGAGTGGTCGACGTCGCTGTGTGCGCCTGGTCCGTACTGTATTGGCTTGTTGAGACGGCAGCGCCTCAATTTCCGATCAGTTCAAGTTTTTCATTTGCGCCGAACGCAACGTAAACGCAAGAAAATTCACCGGCTAGCGAAGCGTGCTGCTGCAACCAGCAAACCGACGAGCGTGCATTAATCAGACAAAAAGAAAAATTATCGTACTAAATGCGAAAAAGTCAAGTAAATTTGTGTCGAGTTGGAAAAGTGTAAATGTCAGGCAGCATTTAAAGGGAAAAGTAAGCGGAGCTTGTAAATGTCAACAACAACACGAGCGCCGTAACGCTAAGCAGCGCGCGTTTATGTTATTATTATTATTTTTTATTGTTGTTTGTTGAAATAGTGAAATATTTAAATTAAACTTATGTTTGATTTATTATTATTATTTTTTTTAAATAAAATTTTGTGCATTTTCCTGCCCTTTCGGCTTTCGTGCGCGCGCATTATCGTGTTAGTGGCGGTATACGGTGTGCTCAAACTGAGATGCCGTTACCGTTAAGGCAATTACAATAAATTCAAAGTGGGTGCAGTTAAACGAATACAAAAACAATAATAAAGAAAACGAACCAAAAATTATGGCAAATTTGGGAAGCGGCCAAGAAGAGTGCCCAAAGTGCTAAAAAAATATTGAATAAAAACATAAAAAAAAATAATAGTAAAGATAAATAAAAATTAAATACTGGAAAATAAACAGAAAATTTAAAAAAATGTAATATTAAAAAAACTAAATTTACTGAATAAAAAAAGAAACAAAAACAGTTTTGGAAAATTGCAATAAAATTGACGAAAAAAAATTTATAAAAATATTTTGCTATAAAGCAAAAACAAAAATAAACATAAATTAAAAAAGTAAAAAAAAATTAATTATCGCCTTTTTGTTCAACAAAAAAATGCAAAATCACTTTACGAATGTCAACAGCTTCTCAAAGAACCGTGAATTTCAGTGCTTAACAAGGCAGGCGGTCATTTAAATTTTCCATATAATTTTTTCTATGTTTTTTTGCTTAAAATTTAAGCAGCGCGATGCACAAAAATCGAAAAACAACCTCAACTTTTTTGCTTAAAAGTTTAAAAAATGTTGTGTCACTTAAAAAATAAATGTCATGCTATAATTATATGTATATTATACATGCCAATTGTACGTTTTGTGGGAGAAATATGATAAAAAAATAAAAGTCGCAAAAATAAACAATAAGACATAATTAACGGTTAAAATAATGTAAATAAGATAAATTTGAACCAATGAGTATGTCTTCAATATATTTAGACTAATATTTTATTATTGATAATTATAACAATATTAATTTGAATAATAATGATNAATTTGAATAATAATGATAATAATAATAATTCGGATGAAAATGATAATACGAAATATATAGTAAGAATGATAAAATAAAATAAAAAATAATAATTTTAATAAATTAGTTATAAGTGCTCTCCAAAAACATATATAAAATGAAATAAGTTTTAAACTAAATAATTTTGATTTTCGATAGGAACTCAAGCGAACTTGCTGAAAAATAACAGCGCGTATATGAAGTGGTTACGATAGAATCCCAATGGTATTAATCATTATTTCTTGAATTGTGTTCATACTAAAAAAATACCACAACACTTTGTTTAATTGTTATTTAATATTTTTTTATTCTTACTTTATAATAATTTTTTTTAATCGTTATTTATATTTTTCGTTATTGTAAAATTTAGCAACTATGGTGAGATAAAAATTAAAATAAAAGATCGGAAATACATTTTTTAAGTTTTAAATATTTTTTAAATTAAAAAATAATTCAAAAATACTTTTTTATCTTTTATTTAATTTTCCTTGTTTTATTTTTTTTCCTTTTTTTTTGTTTTGGGAAAACTTTCCAACACTAGCGAGATAAAATCTTATTATATATTACATTTTGCTCTAAGTTAAATATAAAATTTTTGTTTTTTTAGATGCTATAGCTAAAGTACTATTCCCAACTTTCAATCGATGTCAAAAAATTATAAATTATTCCGTTAAAAAAAAAAAAAATTAACAAAAATCGACTGTGGATGTCCTAGAAAAACTCCGAGTCAAGATATCAAGTGTTCATTCAAAATATTAATTTTTTGTAGCGCCCCTAGTGGTAAGAGCCTTTACGACCCACTTAACTCTTTATTGTATTGAAAAATGCACCCAGTCCTGGTGAAATGAAGTTAGTTCAGCTATATATGATATACACATAATTATGTTTTTTATTACCTATATTTTTCTTATATGTACTCTGACCTCAATCTACCGTGCAAACACAGAATTACCTGTAAACATTAAGATAGATCTAAGTCAAAATCAAAATCAAAAAAAAAAAAAATTAAAATCTGTACTCAAAATTGTTCATCGAATGAGAACCATCATAGTAACTAACCTCTTATTAGCTTTTGAACGTACTTGATACGTTAATCTTATGTAAATATTAATCACATGCTGATCAAACTCCAAAAAAAAATAAGAAAAATTGAAAATATGAAATAATTGTTTGATTCACCAAGCATTGCTACGGCCTGGGCGAGTTTGCATTTTCTTTTTGGAAGTAACTTTTTCTGACTTCGGCTGTTTTTCGTGTTGTCTTAGCACAAATACATAGTAGGGGGATTCTCTTGCTCTTGAAAGATTGCAGATTGCAAAAATCCTATACCGAAATATACAAGGGCACGAGAGCACCCATTGCAGAATCTAGTGATATATGAACGGCTGATTCGATAAAATTATTGAAATTGACTATTGTGCATGGCTATTGTGAAACGGCGCACCTTCTGCATACATTTTTAAAAAAAAAAAAAATTTAACAAATCGTTATAATTTAAATAGTAATTATAAAATCTATTTAAAATTTACCTTCCTCAACAATTTAACGTCAAAATATGACTTTATGATATAAAATGACAACTAAAACAGTTAAAACTGGGTTGCAATTATATTTTTACGTGACATTGCACGCAAATAAACAAGGGTTTTGGTCTGACACCTTCTACAGCCATTGTAAATAATTTTCTGCGAGTGTTTGTTGTTGTGCCGTTATATTAGGTGGAAAAATCTGCAATTCTTGCACCGTGCAAGGGTCTTGCAACAGCAAGAGAATACCCCTGATGTATTAATAACCCGTGACCGTTTCTGTTTATGGTAAATATTTATTCAGCTGAAATGTAGAGCTAACTTAAATTTTGCGATTAAAATTAGCTTTATTTCATTTTCCATTCAGGGTTACGTCTAAATTTTAACTGTTACTTAGCTTCGACTGTTAATAGTTGAAAGAAAAGATTTGGAAGTTGAGAAGTAATTATTATTGCGTCAAATAATATTAAAAATAAATTAGCATACAGATTTTAAGAATTGTGCAAATTTGAACTTTAGAAAATTCATATACTTAGTATTTTCATAATGCCAGCATATATTTTAAGCCAACATTATATTTGACGTCAGATTCTACTTTAATTGCTGCTATTTTATTGCACGAAATACGAAAATAGATATTGAAAAAAATAAATTATATATCTTGGAAACGATTTTCTTATAATTATGCGTACACAATGACGATTCTCAAATTCAAGATGTTTAATAAAGAAAATTAAAAAAGATTAATTTATATGAACTTAAAAATATTAATAAAATAAACTATAGTTTTTGTGAAAAATAGAATGCATATCGTCACTTAGACTGCAGAATAACGAAACATTACTTTCCATAAGTTTACAAGTGAAAGAAAAACGTTATAATAGAAATCACTTATATTGAAAGAAAATTTGAGTTTTGGTTATAAAATGGTTATAAATTGGTTATATCTGTAAATTGGTTATGTATGTAATATTATATAGTATAAGAAACTCCGATTTATTTGGTGATACATTTTTTGGCATTTTAGGTGACGAAATGCAACTCAATAATCATAATCTTAAAACTAAAACTAAAACTCGAACGAATACCGTCTGTTAAGACAATACGTTGTCGTTGAACGTGACTTTAAAAAATACAAAAATAACTTCAAATAAATTCAATAATTTATGCAAAATTTTAAATGCAAAATACGCTTGCCATTTGCCACAAAACGTTTAAAATTAGCAACCAAAGGAAAGTTAAAAACATAGCGCCTAAATTTAGAACACACATGAGAAGTAGTCGAGCGATGTGTGCGCGAAAAAAACGTCTTAAGTGCGTCTGCTGATTTCCACGCCCCACATTGTCGCTTAACCGAAGAAATGAATGCGAAATTAAAAAAAAAATAACAATGATACAAAAAAAAATATTATAAAATAAACGCAAACAAGGCCGGACGCAGTTTTTAATCTGCTGTTTACTTTCAGAACGGATTGTATGTGTGTATGCAGTGATTTTTGAAGTGCTTTTGTGCGGGAATAATGTTTGTTTTAGAAATGGGTCAATTTCCGTTGTGATAGCTTTTAATTTTTTATATTCCAAGTTCACTTCAACATTTTGTTTTTAATATTTTAATCTTGTAATCGGTAGCAATTCTGAACGAAATCAACAAATAAGCGCTACAAAATTGAAATCCTTGTAAATGGCGCAAAACATTTTTCTAAATCTCAAAAATTTGCTCACTGTCAATATTTGTGCTAATCTCTTGCTCATGTCAAGTTCAATATTTACGAATTTGTAGCAGCCGACTTCAAAACTATTTATAAAATAGATAAATCGATATCTTGGCAGGTTTTCCAAATTTGCCAAAGACACTTCTGCGTAAATTGCGCACGCACATGCATATTTCGTATTCTTAATAAATACACAAATTTCAAGGTTTTAGCAAATGTTTATTTAGCAAAAAAAAAAGAATAATAATAACGAAAATAATTAAAAAAAAATAAATAGTATAACAAATTTAAAAATGAAAAAGAAATAGACATCACAATTTTCGAAAATATTCCAATAAAAATAAGTAATTAGTAAATAATTAAAAAAAATTGAAAATAGTTTAAAAAAATTTAATTGGAAAAAATATAATTACCAAATTCGAAAATATGCCAATAAAAAAATAAATTCGAAAGCGCTAATTGTCAATATTTTCGAAAATAATCCGAAAGTGCTTTAAATATGTATGTACATACAAACGTGTTTTGCAAATTTACAATTTTTTCAAAATATTATATTTCAGGAAGAGGTGAAGCAAATCGTTTGCGGGTGCCTATAAATACACATAACAGTACATGCAGGCATATTTACAGCAGCAATATCTGCTTAAGAATTGTGTGAAATATTGAAACATAAAATCGATTTCGATTACTAATACAATTTTCGATTAGGAAAATACCACGAAAAAGGTTTTTAAAAAATTCTAAAAAAAAAAATTAAAATTTTTTAAAAAAATATAAAATTAAAATATCTGAAAAAAATTCAAAAAAATATTATTTTAAAAATCATTTCATTTTACGTACAATTATTGAGTATTAAGCGTACTAATGTTTGTGCCGTCGAATTATATTTTTTACTAAACTACATTACTGAGTGTTGAAAAATCCTACGAAATTGTGTAATTTGAAATGTGACTCTTATAAGTGTTGGTGTGTGCGTGTTTAATATCAACAAATTCGAAAACAACAACAAAACTTGACGACAAATCTAATTTGTGGTGTTTGCGCCAACCAATTGCCATACAATCAGAGTTTTGAAAAAGCAATTACGAATTCTTTCCGACGACAACAAAAACGTTTAAAAGGTTGGTTTCAACATGATTTTATTTTTTATTTATTTAAATTTAGTTTTATTTACTTTGATCGAAAATTCTCAAAGAAATTCGCAACTGAGCTGCACTTTTTTAGTTTAAAATTGTTTTATTGCGCATTTTTTCTTCTAATTCGCCTTAAACACCGCTCTTTTCTTGTTATTATGAAAGTAAAGCTATAAAGCAGAACATAGTATGATCACGTCGATCAAACGTCGATTTTGATGTTCAAAATATACATAACTAGCCTCAACATTGCTTAAACTCTTCACTCAATAAGTAAACAAAACCTTAAACTCGAGCTTGTGCTACAACAAATACATGTCATTGGCTTAAATAATAATTTCACATACATATTTAATAATTCCGCTTATTTTATGAATTTTGACAGCCAAGCTAATTAAATGGAATTATAAATTTTGTCTAGAACCTGATCAGGGTGCATTAAATTTACCACGAAGTTTGTAACAGCCATAAGGAAACATCGCAGATCATATCATAGCGAACTAAGTGGATTTGTGGTAGTCATGCCCTTCTGTTCCTCTGTCTGTATGTATATATAAACTAATTCCACAATTTTTGAGATATCGATCTGAAATTTGGCATCCGGCTTTTTCTCCGAAAGAAGCTGCCATACAAACCGACCGGTCTTGTAAGGAACATATTGCGTTTGTGAAGTTCGCTGCTTATCTGAAACTAATTTTGTTAGTGCTTAACTTTTTATTCGCCTTTTATTGGTTTCCTCCTTCGGCATTTTCGCACTCTTCAACATTTAAATTCGAACAAATGTTGACAAAATAGCTACAAGTATTTTAATTTATTAGCTGCTGAGTTTAGCAAATACTAAGTAGCGGTAAAACACACAACATTCCATTAAAAATTAGCAGAGGCGTGAAACAGTTGTTTCACTTCTTCGCCTTCAATATTCCGTCCGATACAAACTCTATGAATCGACAAATTTGCATAATTTCGTATAGTTTCACATATTTCGGTTTTTATTGCTGTGTTATGTTGTTGTTTTTGCGCTCTTTCGCATTATTTCACAGGCGTATGCAAATCAGCAAGAACTCTCGTTTTCTATAAAATTAAACAATAGTTGGCAACGCAAGCCTTATCGATCCGCGGTTTACGGCTTTTTACTGTCTTCTTCGTGCTGTTTTTTTTTTTTAATCTTTTGTATATTCACTTCCACCTTTGTTTCGTCAACCCCAACTCGTAATCTAACCTATTTTTTCATACAAACTCTTTTCGTGCTAACTCTGGCTTCTTCAATTCGATCGTAATAGCCGACAACAACAACCACATAAATAAATTTGTATGGATGTACATATGTGTGTGTGCGAATCGCTATTTGGGCTCGAAACAACGGCAGAAACCATCACGTGGTTGTTCGACTCTTCGATTGAACGGCTGGCGCGCTGCTCGGTCGTTGGCATAGACCAGCGCCGCGCACTTGGTCCACATTCGTTTACATACTCTTACGTGCTTACATACATACTCTTACACACACTCACATCTCTATATATGCACATAAGTATGTATGTATGTACAAATAATATATACCACATACGCATATATCTAATTATCACACATATATAATATTTTGTTGTTGCTTTTGCACTAGTTGTCCCATTGTTGTTTTCGCCTGCTCTTGTTTTTCTTCATCACTTTTTTCTTTTTCCGAATTTCCTTTGCATATACATAGTTAGCATTTCAATAGTTTTGCGGTTGCTTACTAACCCCTTTTCGAGGTAACCCAATGAACCATGTAAAGCATAATTATGGTTTCGACATGCTTGCCCACAAACATGTACTCACATGCTCACTCACATACTCGCTTGTGTATATACTATACCTACAGACTCGTACATGCAACGGTGACTAAATATTAAATATCGTTCACTCGGCTCGTAAACATCTTCAGTATAATTCAGAGTTGCCCCTTTAGATATAATATTTGCTATAATATTAATACTTTCTTAAGTAAGCGAGCAAACGAACACTCGCTTAAGAATGAAATGCATGCGGCATAGCAACAGGAATCCGCCTGGGGTTACCAATATCAAAAAAAGTTCGATATAATGTGAGTATAATAACATACCTTCACTGCCAATGGAATTGCAGAGGGTTGGGTCCAAATAGAACTTTTCAATTATCTTTTCTTAAAGAGAAAGCAAATTGTGATTATTCTCTCTCAGTTATGAATAAAAAAGAGACCCACATTGACAGCATGTGCATACATTAGAACTCGAAAAGCTTCTTAAACTGAAGAATTCTTTTTTATATTAAAAGCTTGTTTTGCTTCTAATAAAGTGAGCATAAATAAAACTCGTAAAAATAGTTAAAAAGGAGGAATATTTTTCCGAGGTTCGTTTTAGAGACAAGGCCGAGCGGGAACCTTTCTTTTTTTTAATTACAAAGAGATTCTTTTTGAAAAAAAAAAATTCTACATTCAAAAGTATTTTTAATAACAATTTTGGGGTAAGAGAAGTTTTTTGTATAAATTGTTCTCACATAAAAATTCTTCATTTATTATCGATTATATCTAACTCTTCTAAAATGTTTAGCAAAATTTTTGCCGCAAGATTTCGGCCTACGAGATAATCGCCCTTTCGTTTTAAGTATCCAAAAAATGCTTCTAAGGGACCGACTTTATTTAATTTGTCATAGTTAGGTTCGCTTTTAAGGTCTATATGGTAATATATTCAAAAACGAAGCAATTCTTATGTACTATTTATCAGAATTAAGTATTTAAGTATTCTTCTGTAATATAGTATAGTAAATCATGTTTTTAATGCATACCTTTCCGGCACTTTTTTGAGAATGGCCTAGTTTTTTAGCTAACTCACCTAACCAAATATCATTTCAGTCTCATGTTGTTGTAGCGACACTGACATTCTCAAACAGTTTTAGAGATTTAACACAAGATTTCATAGAATCGTAACGGTAAAAAATATCCAAATATTTTTCAAGAATACAATCGGTTCAAAGCTCTTTGAATGATCAAGATTTTAGTCCATTTAGATTACATGAAAGGTTTTAAAGTATTATCTTCTTCATGCTGGTGTTGTAATGGCATAAAATATTCCCATTTTGGTTTTAAGAATCCCTTCAAAGATCGACAATCTTAAGTCGGAAAAATTTGTCTTGATTACGGTTGGGCAATACCGACTAAAACGGGAAAGGACTATATTAACGAATTTTCTTCGGATTATGCAACCAAGTGTAACTTCTGTAATACTTATAGATATCAATTGGCGATCAACTTGAAGAAGTTCTATTGAACTGCCATGTCAGCTTTATCCAATTTGCAAATTACTTTGCTTAGGCATTAGCAGACAGTGAAGAAACCAATGGCCGTTTTCTCAATATCTGATTAGCAGTCATCTATCAGTTAAGTACTAGTTAAAAAATGAGATTCTTTACCGTGCAAAGGAGTCTTGGTTAAGTTAACCAGAATTTAAGTGACCTACGGCTGCTAACCAGACATTGAAAAAGTGGTCCTAAAGCGTCTTTATTTTGTTTTCTACTATTTAACAATATAAAGAGAAATACACACTTTAAGCCTCTTCATTGCGGTGCTCATGTAATTCTGTAACTCTCTATTCCTTTCTTACGCTCTTGTAAAATATGAGACCACAAAAACTCGCCAACGAAACAGAAATAAGAAAGTCCGGAGAGCCAAACGACAGAAACAAATAATGACCTTCAATTCCACACAAACCAATTTCAATATTGCATCACTCTTGTCCACTGTGCGCGCACCAACAAAAACGAAAAGAAAACGAAAACCGAAATAGTGGCAATAAGCAATGAGCGCTATTGTATTCGGACAAAAGCTTTTATGTACACATTGCAATAACTCTTGTGCGCCTAGTTTTTGCTTTCGTCACGGTTGTATGCAAGGCGGCGCGGCAGCGGCGGCAAAACGTCTTTTCAACTTCCCCATGCTGACCTTTGTTGGCCGCTAGGGTGCTCCAAAAGCACGCCTAGCCACAATCGGCGCAGCTTAAGGCGCACATATGAATACACACATACATATGTATATGCATGAATGCAAGTGTGCTCATTTGCAGCTGTGACCGCTTGTGCGTTTCTCTTTCGCACCGTGGTTCAGACTTGGCCGGCAACCACTTGAGCGCGCCCGTTTATGAGTAATTCTGTTGTAATTTATTACAACTACAGGGCAATGACAGCAATAGTGACGGAAAATGTATATGGGAAAAAATAATTATGCATACTCACATACAAATGCACGCAAATACTCAGTAGGTAGCTAGGCAGCTCTATGCGTGTAGCAAAAAAGCAGCGTTGACATATAGTATTATATATTACTTTGGTTACTTTGAATAAGCAAACATAAAAATCAACAAAAGACAAGCAACAAAAATGTAATATAACGAAATAATAGTAAAATGTTTAAAAAGTGGAAAATGCAGGAAAGCAATAATGTTTTTTGCGCGCTTAACCGCATTTCATGTGATTATTTAAGGTCATCGACGTTGTGGCGAAATGAAAAGGTTAATAGTTGTAAGTAGTTGCGCTGTTAACTGTTAAGGCTTAAAGCTGCTACTTTTGTATATTGTCGGTGAAAATGCTGTTCATACTTTATACATGTATTTGTGTACGAAATTATGTATACGTCAATATGATGATGATATAACAGGGTGTCGCACAAGCAATTTCAGCCGTTTTTTAGGGTTATTGAAAATTACACGCCTCACGCCATGCCAGGAAAAAGCACCCCATAGCATCATATTTCCGCCTGCGTATTTTATCATAAGAACAATCTATCAGAGCAATTCTATTAATTATCCTTTTATCCGTTCCCAGTACAATTTTCCCAAAAATACGGTCTTTATCGCAAGTGTTTTCGCGAAACGTAATCGATTTTGGATGTGCCGCTTTGACAGAAGTGTTTTTTTTTTTCTTTTTTTTGTACTCGAGAAGCTAAAAAGTTGTACCTCATTACAACGTCTTTCAACAGTCTTCCA